CTCCAACATCTGGACAAACCAGGGACTTATGCAAGGATCTTGTTTGTGGACTTCAGCTCCGCTTTCAACACCATCATCCCGGACACCCTTCAGAATAAACTGACCCAGCTCTCTGTACCCACCTCCAGCTGTCAGTGGATCACCAGCTTCCTGACAGACAGGCAGCAGCTAGTGAGGATGCGAAAACTCACATCCAACACCTGCACCATCAGCACCGGAGCTTCTCAGGGCTGCGTTCTCTCCCCACTGCTATTCTCACTCTACACAAATGACTGCACCTCTAAAGACCCCTCTGTCAAACTCCTGAAGTTTGCAGATGACACTACAGTCATCGGCCTCATCCAGGACAGCGACGAGTCTGCTTACAGACAAGAGGTTGAGCAGCTGGCTGTCTGGTGCAGTCACAACAACCTGGAGCTGAACACGCTCAAAACTGTAGAGATGATAGTAGACTTCAGGAGAAACCCCACTGCTCTCCCCCCACTCACCATCATGAACAGCACTGTGGCTGCAGTGGAGTCATTCAGATCCCTGGGAATTATCGAGTCGGTTCTGTGCTCCTCTATAACTGTCTGGTTTGGGTCAGCCAGCAAATCAGATATAAGACGACTGCAGCGGACTGTTAGGACAGCAGAAAGGATCATTGGTGTCCACCTGCCCAATCTGTACATAAATCTTCTGTTTCAGATTCATACAAATTATTATTTATTGTTAAGTCTTATTTAAATATTTCTGTTCTCATGTCAGATATGTATGTATATATGTATGTATGTATGTATGTATGCATGTATGTACCAAGAGCTTCTTAAAAACCACAACAAATTCCTTGTGTGTTTGCGCACACTTGGCGAATAAAGCTGATTCTGATGAAATCTTATGCTCATCTCTTACCTCTGCGTCTGTCACCACCATCTCTGTGCTGATTGTGAATGCGTCTACTACGGAATTCTGGACCACGGAAATCATCACGAGTTTCATTACCCACCGGCTCCGGCAACACAAACACCGTTCCTGTGTCAAATAATAATGGGGATCAAAACCAATTTGTATTCCCTTAATGTATTCAATAACAGAAACCATAACATAAAAACTTAATGACATGGGCATGATCATCTGAATCAGCCAAATGAAAGAGAATGGAAGTGGCACCTTTTGGCAGGACGTTGGTGTCTGGGTCGCTGGAGTGCACAGACATTACATCTTCTGCTCCACTCTCAGACGAAGTGTCCGACTCGTTCATCCCGCTGTGTTTGGTGACAACAGCCGGTTTCCTGTAAAAGTAACGATTTACAAATGAGTTCATTCTGTCAGAGCACAAAGGGTTTCCAGATGCATCTCATCATTATTTAAGTCAAACCTTCTCGAACGAGATGACAGCATTCCCACTTCTGAGGGGCCACTGGACTGAAAAGAAAAGACAAAGTATTGTAAACAAACAAATCTCTTGAAATCTGATGAATAGAGCAAAAAAGAAAAATCCATTTCAGCTATATACAATGACAATTACGTTGAAAAGTCTAAATCTATGCAGGGACGAGTTCTAGAACCCATTTTTTAACTTCCAGTTCTATCGTCCCAAACTAAGCGTTTTTTTTATTATTCAATTGTAGTTAAATGCTACAAATAATGTCTGTGGTTAACATATCTCAAGATATTTTCATGTTATTCTATGACATCAAATACATCAGTAATACCGCACTTGTGATTTTTATAGACTTTACATGTCTTGAAAAAGACGGTTGCTAAATGTGACTACATAAGTTGTCAGGTACATTAAACGGCATCACACTGAACAAGAATACAATCTACTCACAAGTTCTCTTTTACAGCCTCACTGTGTTTATACTCACATTCTTGCAAACTATTCTCAGCTTTCCAAACTCTCCAACTTGTAAATTTTAAATAAAAACTGAAAGAGTTGATGGCAACATTTAAAGGCACAATATGTAATTTTTTGCCACTAGAGGGCGCATATTCAAAACAAACAAAGAAACAAAGGCGTAGTTAGATGACGTAGTGACTGAGTGTGGAATCATGGGAGTTGTCATCTCCATTCCCACAGCTTTTTGGATATTTTAATAAAAAAATCTTACATATTGTGCCTTTAAGTTGTTTTAGTTTTTAGTTATTTTTATTTTTTTTTACTTCTGCCGTTTACATTTAGGCTTCAAAATTCATAAATGTTGTGTTCATTTGTGAAAATTATCTTGATGAGCAAAAGGTTTTGTTTGTCACAAAGCTTATTTTCTGCAGTTATTCAGAACCCAGTGGAAACATCCTATTGGCTTTTGGTTAAAGGAACCAGGGTGATGCTAACTTCTGGGTTGGACAATAAAAAATGTAATTTCTGCTGCAAACGATACAATGAAGAATGAATGGTTGTTTAACTTAAAGGCAAAAACAAAACAAAAGATAAGCATTTATCCTTATAGAGAATGATAAGTAACCATGCGAACGGATAGCGTATCCTGCTAATATGGCGGCGCCTTCCCGAAATGCAATGCGGAGTGAAAAGATCGTGACGTAACTCCTCATTCTCTATTGGCTTTTGGTTAAAGGAACCAGGGTGATGCTAACTTCTGGGTTGGACAATAAAAAATGTCATTTCTGCCACACTCTAAACAATCTCTACCTGGGCACAAGCCTGCTGCTCCAAGTATTCTTTGGCCGTGGTTCCTGTAAATGAGAAATAACAAATTTCACTATAACTGCTCTATTAATGAGTTTATTTTTGGTTCAGTTTCTGATGTGACTGAGACTAATTTCTCTTCCAAGCTGTACTCACCATTCCAGTGTCCTGGTAAAGTAGCTTCAGTCTTGTCTTCAGTGGCTGCTGCCAAATACTCATGGAGCTTCCCGATCAGCTCACCTAGCTTACTGCCTCCACCAGCCACCTGCCCAGGTCTGCAAAGATAAGACAGCTGATCTCTATGGCAACAGCCTCATACTGTAATCTCTCATGATGCATTAAAAACACTGAAAACCCTTTATAAACCTGCAAAACCAAACTATATCCAAACACAGATGGTTCCTTTAGAAAGAAGCATACTCAGGCTTCAGTCTGATAGGAATGTGAGGCTTATATTTATCATGAATTAAACAGGCTTCATAATTTTTTTCCTCAGTTCAGCACCGACTAGGGCTGCACGATAAATTGCATGCGATATTTAACACGCACATGCGTGCTTTCACATTGAGCAGCATTAACTACACAGAGCCGTTGTTCACAGACGAGCTGCGCAAAACCACGTTCATATTCGCGTGATTTTTTGCGCAGCTCGTCAGTGAACAACGGCTCTGTGTAGTTAATGCTGCTCAATGTGAAAGCACGCA